TAAAATGAAACATTCCCTGTTAATTCGGTCCCTGAAACAGCAGAAGCCCATGGCATTAGCCTTTGGGTTATTAATATGTTGATAGAGGGAAGGATTAAGAAAAGGGCAGGTTGTGGGACACAAATGGCACAAAGGCCAGAGGCAAATAATCTTGTATTGACTCCAGTTCTAAAAAATAGATTCAAGGCAGAAATTAGAACATTTCAAAGGTGATTCTGTGGTCAGATGAAGTCACTTCCCAACTGAGATTCTTGCTCTGCTCTGGGATTGGAGAAGCAGGTATGTGAGCCGTTACATTTATTTTACTAGACTCTTAAGTATAACTTCAAGGCTAGTGCTTTACTGGGAAGACAGTGATAATGTACTGTCTCAGAGCACACGGAGTGTGAAGGCATATAAACTCACTGAATCTTCACTCCAAAGTATCACGTGTGTCCCCCCGTGACTATGGTAAAATGTTTGCCACCTACTCTCCCTTACCCTGCTAGCACTGTAATTACATTAGCCATACTGCATGGACTTTACTTCTGAACAGCAGTCCTATGTGTTCCACCTTGGGGGACTGGGAAATCGTTTTCTCCATTCCATAGTCCATTTCCTTCGGGTTGTGGATGCCCCTATGGGAGCTGATGTGGCAAGTGCTGAGAGCTTAGATCAAATATAGATCATTATGTGGAAAAACTGAAGAGTAATTCTGATCCTTCCTTCTGTGGAAAACATTGTAGCTGTGCTGAAAATGGGATTAAAATGGCTAAAGATCATACTGAGGTGTCAACTTTTATCTCATTAAAGTCCCGCTTTGTTTCTGACACCAGTGGAAAGTCAGCGAGTATTCCCTGGCAGAAAGTGGTACAAACAAAGCTGCACAGCAGGCTGCCAGCCAGGAGCTCCAGGGTCCTGATCCTTACTGACTTACTGTGACCTTGGGTGAGGCATTTCATTTCTGTCTGCTTCCCTGTCCTGTAACCTAGAGTTAACAATTACGTGTTTCAGAGGATTTGAGTTAAATAGCTGTTAATTTTAAAGCACTTTGAAAATTATAAGCTCTATATACATGTTAAGGTTTAATCCCTCACACCTGAATAGCATGGCTGATACTGAAAACGGAGTTCTTACTGGGTGCCAAGGTGATGAATGTGATGATGAGGTCACCTCAGTCTGAGCAAAACAAGTTTTCAGGCAATAACTCTCACTGGAGTAATTCAGAGTAATTCCCAGTTCCTCTGCAGTGGAGGCACACGAGCTGAGCCCGTTAGCAGAGTGGGTCTGGGACTGGGAGAATGGGAGGTTAGGTATGGCGCAAAGGGAATGAGAAATACACTGTTGGTCAGAGGTAGCGTGAGCTTGGATACGTGGGACAGTGGGAATGAGCTTGTGCTCAAACTTGGCAAGAGAATAGTTAAGCTAACAGGTTGGGCAGGGTGGATGAACAGTGAAAACAGGAACAAGGTGCTGTAGCACCATTTTTGACCAACCCTTTGAGATGCAGGGCTGATTGATTCTCTTCCCTGCTCAAAACAAGCAGCACTTCCTAGGAAGTGAAGTTGTGTGTGATTCCAGCCACTTTAAGCAGCAGCATAAATCAACCCTAGATTGGGTTCTGCAGCTTGGCAGGCGTGTGTCTGTCTGGAGTCTCCCATAGCCCATAACCTGTGTGGGGTGCCGAGCTAATCAGGTCACTAGGGTGACTGTACAGCCCTAAATGCAGTTCCTGCATTGTGGGTGCCTCAGGCTGTGGGGCTGGCAGTTCCATTTATAATTGCTACACTGCTCGAGTTCAAGGTTATTCAGAGGGGGAGTCACCCATAAAATAGAGTTTATAGTAGTGCTTATACTTGCTTTGGTGCTTTGTAATCAACATACATATGCATTGAGAACTGTTACTTTTCTGGGCTCTCTGTGGCTTTTTAGTATTGCATGGCACTGTTTTGGAGAGTGGAGAGAGGAAAATACGTAAACACTTCTATGTCATGAAAAAAACAGGTAGGTTAGTGGTTATTGATGGATAGCAAATGCTTTGTGATTTATGACAGAACAAGTCAGCAGAGCATGGAGTCTTACAAAACACATGGGACAGGTTGAGTAAGCTCAGAGCCTGCACTGGTTGGCAAGCTGTTGAAGTACAGATAATCCCAGTTAAATATGCTTAATTGTTATCCTTATGTATACTTCTTCCATTGCTCAGGATCATGTTGCAATTGTCATCTGGTGGTGATTAGAAGCACACTGGCATTGCTACCAGAAGTGCTGCATTTCTCTTAGGAAAAGGTGGTTTTCTCAGTGCTGTGTAATTTTTACCAGTGTGTAGTAGCATCATTATTTCTTGTAACGTATATAATACCGCCCAGTCAGCACTACCCGCTACTTATATAACACTACCCAGTCATGTGTTGACCAGATGACAGTCATGTCATTGCACTAGTTTGGGCATTGTAAAAAAAAAAAACAAAAAACAACAACAAAAAAAAGAGTTATTCCAGGCACTTGCTTTGTCATAAAATTTTGTTATAACAGTAGAAAATCCCTTCAGATTGAATAGAAGTCCAGGACATAACAGAAGGCTTTAAATCCATCCCTTAGGCTCCATCGACAGCGGGCAGCTTTCACTAGTTTGGGCATTGTAAAAAAAAAACCAAAAAACAAAAAAAAGTTATTCCAGGCACTTGCTTTGTCATAAAATTTTGTTATAACAGTAGAAAATCCCTTCAGATTGAATAGAAGTCCAGGACATAACAGAAGGCTTTAAACCCATCCCTTAGGCTCCATCGAAGAATGTCTGTGGCCATTTGTAATACGTATTTTACGTCTTAAATCTGTAGTATGATTATAGCTTGCGTGACTACTGCTTCTCTACTCTGGACATTGTCCTACTGTATGTTCAAGAGATGCATTCAAACAAGGCCTTGTTCTCTCTTGCCTGGACACCTGGGAATCCCCACGTGAACCTCTGCCTCTGAGCAAGAAGGAGCCGTGCTGAGCTGGTGTTTCTCTGCTGGAAGCAATGCATCACATCATGGTCCATTCAGTTTCCCTGTTGTCCTTCATCTTATGGTGTTAGCTGCATTGACACTAAAAGCTTTGCTGTCTGCTGAGCTCAGTGCAAATGCGGTTTGCAGGTGCCAAATCTTGGCAGTTGGGAGCCCTTGGGTTTAAGAAACACGCCGAGCAGTGAGCCAGGGGCCTTCAGCTCTGACAACTGAAATGAGTTCTCAGGTCTGGAGTTGCACCAGCAGCCATTTGAGTTGCAGTAGAAAATCTCCCCTCTCCGCTTGTGTTGCACTTTTCACTGGGGAGCCTGGAGCTGCCTTGATATGTTGGCGCCTCCAGCTGTAGATGACTAAATGAAGCTGTGTGGGCTGCTCGCTGTCCGGCCAGACTGTCCCTGCTATCTCTTCCCACAAACACTGGAGCCTTTGTCTCTGGCTTTATCGTGCCCCTGCCATCACAGAGCCCTTTCTGTGCTCTCCTCCCAAGCACAGCGCCTCTGTTCAGGGGTCTTTTCTTCAGCTGCTCTTTGTCTCCGGGTGTTTATTGTGCCTGCTGCAGAGTGTGTGTGTTTGGGAGGGGAGAGGAGGGGCTCCTGTTTGTGTGGGGTTTATAAACCTAGTGCATTCTTCAGAAGAGATGCTGAGCAAACTTGGTGGTGTTAATATTAACCCTTCACTGCCCTGCATTACTGAGAGAGATTTCCTCAACGTGTGAAAATTGCTTAGGGAGAGTTATGAAGTTGCATGCAGTGTAAGGCAGTAGCCACACAGTTGTGCAGCAGGGAGTCTGCTCCCCCTTTGGTCTTAACTGCCCTTTGATTTTCTGTGAATGCTGCGCATGTGTATCAGCAAAGAGTGCCTCCCAAACATGGGGAGATGTAATTGATTCTAGAATTTCCCCCCAGAGTGCTTCTGGAACTTGCTTTTATTGCAAACACTGGCTCACTAGCCCTTTCTGTTTGCATAACTGGCCCTTGCATCCTGTTTATGTGGCTACATCAGACAATATCTCTTCATTGTACCATATCCCAAAACTTTATGGCTCTGTACTTTAGGGCTTTTCCTTTTGAGTAAGGTCCTGAAAACAGGATTTTCTTAAATTCATAGTGTTGCCACTTGTAGTGGCATATAATACCTCCGCTCTGAACCAGCTTCTTTTCTTTAACCAGCTTGTTAATACTTTAATGGTTAGGATGGCTTGTTGTTTCTTCAGTACCCATGGTCCCATATTCCAAGAGAGAGCTTTGGAAGATGAAGATCAGCAACTCAGAAACTTTATTGCCCTTGTAATCACATAATGCTTTGCATTAAGTTGGTTGGGAGAAAAGAACAAACAACAACCAAACAGAACAGCATCAACTTTCTAACCTCCTTTTGTTCTTCCTCCATAAGAATATGGGAGTTTATAACATGAAAAATCTCTCGTCTATTTCTGCAAGAAGCCACAGCAACACAATTGTCTTAGTATTAGAAGTGCCAGAAGAGTTTTCTATTTCACTGAATCTGCGGTCAGCATAAATGTTTCAGACCTTTTTTATGATGATCTGCATAAACTGAGCATAATGCAAATACATTAGTTTTGTGTGATAAAATACTCATGTGTGATAAAAATACTTTTTTTTTCCAAGATGGTACCTTTTCTTAAGTTACTGAACTTTTCCCCAGAAATTAATAGGTTTAAATTCAGCATTTTACAAAGTAGTGTAAAGAATTTTTATTTTCAAATAATTAATATCCTGGTATTGGGGTTGCAGTTCATGTATTGCAGCATCTACATATCATATTATTACCACTGGGAAAAAGTTCAGCAGACTGTGTTCCTTTGCGGGGGGTGGGAGAGGAAGAAATGCAAAATAATACAAGCCTTTGAAACATGAATCCACACACTCAGTCATGACGAAACCTTTTCAAACACTCAGGTGTTTTTTCCAAGACTGTTCTAGGCTCTAGCATTGTTGTTGTGTGCCTTGTTTTCTTTATGAACTAACTCAGTTTGCCTCATCTCTTTTCAAGGAACAGTTTCAGCTGCAAAGCGCACAGGGATTCCAGCACCCCGGGAAATATCATCATCTGTATCCAGAGAGAGAGCTGTATTGCGTGGTCAAGCCAATACTAGGAAAACACAACCCAGCCCCACCTCTTCTGGTACACCGACTCCTACCAAACACGTGCGCCCCACTAGCAAGTCCAAGCAAGAGAATGAAACTGGTGACAAGGCTGTTCTGGAATCTCAGGTTAGAGAACTCCTGGCAGAAGCAAAGACGAAAGATTCTGAAATTACCAAACTCCGTTGTGAATTGAAGAAATGCAAAGAGAAAGGATCACTTAATGCTGAAGGAATGGGTGCTTCCAACCAAAATTTAGAAACAGTATCACCTGTTGACATAGATCCATTAATACGGACCCTTCAGGAAAAAAACAGGACTTTTCAAAAAGAGCTTGCTAGCCTGGGAGAAGAAAATTGTGTGTTGAAAGAGAAATTGCTTTATCTAGAGAACTCTCCTCTCTCAGACACAACAACAAGCAGTGGAGGTGACAGCAGCCTCCCAACCCCAACTACCCAAGAATCCAGTTTTGGAAGCCCATCAAAAAATGTGTCGAGAGGTGAAACGGATGAGCACAGGCAGCATGTGAATGGGGGTGCACTGCGCAATTCAGGTTCTTCCAGCAGTGATGTAACTAAAGCTTCCTTGTCCCCTGATGCATCTGATTTTGAACATATAGCAGATGTACCTTCTAGGCCAACATCCTCCAACAGCAACCACATCAAAGGTTCCAAATGCTCCACTACAGGAAGTTCTCCAAACAATATTAGTGACCTTTCTGTTGCATCTCTTACAGAGAGAATACAAAAAATGGAGGAGAATCACCACAGCACAGCAGAAGAATTACAAGCCACTTTGCAGGAGCTGTCGGATCAACAGCAAATGGTGCAGGAGCTGACAGCAGAAAATGAGAAGCTAGTGGAAGAGAAAGCTCTCCTGGAGACTTCCTTTCGTCAACATAGAGATAGAGCAGAACAACTGAGCCAAGAAAATGAAAAGCTAATGACTCTCCTCCAAGAGCGATCCAAGAATGAAGAAAGCAGAGCTCAGGAGGGGAAGGTCCTTGAACTGGAACAGAAATGTGCAGAAGTTCTTGAAAAAGCACAATTTGAAAGAGAGAAATTGCTCAACATTCAGCAACAATTAACCAGCAGCCTACGAAGCTTAGAAAGGGAGCATCAAGATGCCCAGCAGGTGATTAAAAGCCTGAGAGAAGAAAATGAGAAGCTGCTTAAACTTCTAGAAGTGGAACAGCAGAGCAACAGCACAGTGACAAAAACTCTGGAGGACTGTAAAATTGCCTTAGAAGGCCTAAAAATTGAGAATGGCTCTCTCAAAACTCAGTTAGAGAGTGAGAAACAAAAGGCCGCAGAAATCAACGCGATGGGATGTACTACTGACAACTCTGAGGTGCAAGAGATGCTGAAAGTAGCCCATGCAGAAAAGGATCAGTTAGAAGCGTCTTGCACTGAGCTTAAACAAGAGCTGCTGAAGGCGAACAGTGAACTAAAGCACATTCAGGGTCTGCTATCTAAGGTAAAGTAGTAACAGCTGTAAAATATAATGGTTGTTTATCTGTTCTTCTGCAAATAGATAATTGTTGGTCTTTAGATTGTTGTTGAGCCATTGATTATGAGTTTCCAGGATTTAAATTGCATTAATTAGTTTTGAATGGAAGCTGTGTTCATACGGTATTGTCTGTTTCTGCTGCTATATGCATATTTTCCCAGGAATAACTGTTAGCATAGCTGTGTTTATAGATTCAAAACTAATTTCCCCTAATATCTTCTGCAGAGTTTACTATTTTGGTAAATAGAATTGTGTTTATCAAAATTGGAGCAAGAGAACAGGTCAATAAAAAATTACTTTGATATTATGTGAAGAAATATTAGTGAAAATCACTTGGTAATCCAGATACAGAAGGGCATGAGCAGTTAGCAGCGAATATTAAATTCTGAATAATTAATCATGATTAATTAGTAGTGAACTATAGGTGTCATTGGTCATGAGACACAAGGACATGAGCTAATGCTCAGAGAAGCTGGTATTTACAGCAAAGTGACTAATGATGCACGGTCAAGCTCCAGATGAGATCCTGTACACAAAACTAAAGTATTTTTACAAAACTGAGAAATATTCTGTTTTGGGATGGGTAAAGTAATGGCAAAAAAATTGATTTATTTTGGAACAATTTTTCTCTACCTCATTTGGTAGTGTCTAAGCAAGCTTAAGTCAATTACTGTTTCTATTTTCTGTGTGATCCTGGATGTTCAAAAGAGAGCTGCAATGTGAGGTATCATAGAACAAGTGTTAATAAAGCACAAGCCGGTGATTATGTCCCACCACTGCAGAAAGAGTGATAGTGTGTGCAACCTTTCCTGTGTGGGGAAGGGATCATGAGAGAACGGTTAAATTGGCTAGCTGCAGAGGAAGAGAGCATTGCCAAAAGGCACCTCCATGATTTGAGTGATTTAGAAAATCCAGATGTCCTTTCAGCTTAAATAGGTGACCACAGCAAATGGAGTTGGTAGAGGAAGCTCCCAAGTGCTTGCTAGAGTTGCAGTTTATGAAGAATAAATGAAAAACTGCTGAGTGCTCAGACTATGTACCAAACTTTTATTGCTTGGTTTTGAAACCACAGATTTCTTCCTTTTTACTCTTCCTTTCCCTTGAACTAAGCTGTTTTGAATCATTGGCTATTTGTGACACCCAAACAAGACCACAGGCTTCTGTAAGGCTGCCCTTCAGTCAGGCTGTGCCAGCGCTACTCACTGAATTGGCAGCCTACACCTTGCTTTTCCGTAACTTGTTCATACTCAGAGATCTCCCCCAAACCTGGAAGCATAGATCTGTGGGCCTGAGCCAACAAACTGAAGTGCAGCAGATTCCTCCTTCAGTAAGTCCAGATGTCCTATATCCAGAAAATATACTTATCTGCGGTAGCTAGCTCTACTACGTATGTTTTCACAATCCATTGAAAATGCACATGGTAAAAGCAGTAAAATTGTTAATGTGGACAAACTGATCGTCATCTTGGCCCTAAGGCAGTGATATCACTCTAACATAATACATGAATAGTTGTGGAGCTTTCCAGGAATATCATTCCTCTCTGTTCATTACCTGCAGAGACTGGTTTGGAATTATCGTCATCGTATAGAAAATTTAATTTCCTTTCTAGCATCTTGTTTTATTACCTTTATGACTGGGAAAGAAAACTGACCTTCATAGCTCATCTATGTTTCCTGAAACTGTCTCATTAGCCTTGAAACTCAGGTTATACAATGCTTAGAACGCAGGTTCAATTCTTAAGTCCATGAGATGCCCAGTAAAATCTCTAATGAGTGATAACTGTTAAGAACTAAAGACAGACTTGCAGCTTTCTTTCCTCCATTCCAGGCTGAGAATGAGTGTGGTCAGCTGAAGGAGGTATGTGACCGGCAGGCTGAGCAACTGAGCAGAACCAGCCAGAAGCTGCAGGAAAAAACATCAGAGAATGAAGCAGATATAAAAAACCTGAAAGAGACCATTTTTGAGTTGGAGGACCAGGTGGAACAACATCGTGCTATAAAACTTCACAATAACCAGCTCATCAGTGACCTAGAAAGTAGGTGGAGCTGAAAAAAGAATTTAAGAGAACTTATTCTGGAGGCTCAGTTATGGCTGCAACAGGGAGGAGGAGGCATGTCTTGATAAGTGTGACAAGAGCCTCACTTTAGAAATATTCCAATTTTGGCCAATCCTTTCTGTTCATGCACAAAAGTCACTATTTTAACAGCGCTGTAGAAATAATATTAGAGACAGTCTCCAAGCCTCATTCTTCAGCGAAGGATGTATTGCCCGTTCTAGAAACTGGAATTATTGGCCTTTTGAAGAGCTTTTAGGGAAAAGCGCTAGTAAGAGCTGTGAAGTCGCGGTTGCTGTCGCGTTGTGGAAGGGGAGCTGCCACCTGGTGGAACGAGAGGCACATTTCGCTTACCAGTGTTACCTCGAGTGCTCCAGGGGTGTGTACACTGAATAAGTGATCCTGCACATGTGATTCTGTAAATTTAAAAGTCTGGTTTAATGCCTCAAAATAATGATCTATTTCAGAGATGTTTGAGTAACAAATCTACTGTTGATTCCATTCCTGATCCATTGACAGAGTACCTTAATTTCAGTTTAGTCTATTTAGTGGCATTACTAGAAGCAAAACCAAACAGGCTGCTCTGCCTTCCCATTTTCACTTTTCACCCTGGCCCTTATGTGTTTAATAATCTTTTCCCTTTTTTACTCTTCCTAGGTAAAGCTATGAAGCTGGAAGAACAAAAACAAGATACAGAGAGGCAGCTGAAGGCTCTGACTAAGCAAATGAAGGTAAGGCTTAAACTCTATGACAAAGCTAAACTGAGCTTTTATTGCAGTACTGGATTTGAGAGAAGCATTGTATTTTTTCAGAACGATTGTAGAAAGTTCTTTCTACATCCTTTCATTCTCCATTCTCTTCACTCTTTTCTAGCTGTTTCTTTGCCTGTGAAGGAAAAATGTAATACATCCTTTGCGAATTACTCTTGCTTTTTGTACCTATGAACTTCTGCTACTTTGGAACAGCCATTCCTGCTTCATGAATCATTAGTAGCAATGAGCTCTTTTCAGCAGCAGTGCTTGTAGTAGTATCACAAGTCTGAATGATCAATAGCTATAGGAAGAACTTTGAGTGTACTTTTTGTATTTGAGTGGAGAGCTTAGCATCAGTTTCTTCTTTGGCAATTTCATCAGTACTGTGTAAAGAGACAAGTATTTAGTTTGACCTCGACATCATCTTGAAATTGTGGTGAAATCCTGGCTGCTTGTGGTCACTGAAAGAGAGATCAATAACTAAGTGCTCAGCTCAGGTGCATTTTTACAGCAGTTTGGGGTTCTAATTGCTCTTTCTAGGAAGATACAGAAGAATGGAGGCGTTTTCAAGCTGATCTGCAGACTGCAGTGGTTGTAGCCAATGATATTAAGTGTGAAGCCCAGCAGGAGCTCCGTGTGGTAAAGAGGAAGCTTCAGGAGGAAGAGGAGAAGAGTGCCAGACTGCAGAAGGAGCTGGATGAAGTGAAGGGCAGCAACAGGTTGGTTACTTACAAAGGCCAAGTTTTGATCTCTGTGACTGCTAACATGCATGCAAACAGTGCTTTGTCAATAACTATTCATTGGCTTGGATGTGCATGTTGTCTGTTTTTAACTTTTCTGACAGATTTTGTTGTCTCTTATTCTGAGATGTTTCTGTTCTTTTTCTTTTTGGCGATCTAGTTCTGTCAACTAGGCCATGAAGGTTTTAATCAGCAAATATTAAGTAATAACAATTGCCAATATCCTCTTACAGCTTTGTTCTCAATATGGTATTCCACTGTGTTTTATTGTCTTCATAACTTTCTGTGCAGCTGTATTAAACCATCTGTGAAAAGATTGGTTGGCTACATATATTCAATGGGACATCCAGAAGAGAACTACTTAACCTGAGTGGAGTCAAGGACTATGTATGTTCAAATTAAAATGAGGACTAGCTGGACTTCTTTGTTCTGCAAGTCTGATACGTGTTGACTTGAGTGATCAATGCAAGTACTAGGATTCCTCATCTTGCATCTCCCGTCCCTAATATGAAACCTTGTGATTAGCCATGTTAAATGGTCTGGACTGTAGCCTGGGTTTAGCATTCAGCCCAGAAGTGACTTCGTCATGCAGTGGACCCACCTATCAAACAATTACTGTAGTCTCAGTGGTTGGAAGGGGAACAGTAGTTGTGAACCATTCAGAGATACACCCCAGCATGGTAAGCTGTATGTGTGGGGCTTCCCTCTGTGGGAGCATGGTAAGAACAAAAGTGACTTTTACAATTGAATCTGGAACCAGTACAAATGCCTTACAATGTGGTTTTTATGCAGTGCGTGACCTTTTATGTACCATCTTTCATTCTAAAAATCATACTACAGTTGAGGTACTAAATAAGAAGAGATGGAAAACAAAAGATGTATTAGAAGGAAGAACCAAAATTTCTAAAGACGACAGTGCTCTGCTCTTTTTTTTTTTGCATTAATGCAAGCAGAGCTGCAGTGATGAAAATTTGTACAGGGGAACGAAGAGAGACAAAAAAGACGACAGCTCTGCTCTTTTTTTTTGCATTAATGCAAGCAGAGCTGCAGTGATGAAAATTTGTACAGGGGAACGAAGAGAGACAAAATAACACAAACAATTGTACAGTTTATCAAAAATGTGTGCCAAATTAATTTTGCTCCTCTAGATATTTTCCATTTAATCTCTTGCCTAGTAGATTCATGGCCACTGGTAGAAATAGCCACAGGAACACAGCGAATCCTGTAATTTCTTTCAGGTGGAGTAGCAGTGATGAAAATTTGTACAGGGGAACGAAGAGAGACAAAATAACACAAACAATTGTACAGTTTATCAAAAATGTGTGCCAAATTAATTTTGCTCCTCTAGATATTTTCCATTTAATCTCTTGCCTAGTAGATTCATGGCCACTGGTAGAAATAGCCACAGGAACACAGCGAATCCTGTAATTTCTTTCAGGTGGAGTAACAGTCCAGCTTTATGTTGCACATATTTGCTCACTGTTTTCCATTCAGGAGTTTCCACAGCAGCTGTACAGTAGATGGGAGTAAAAACATGGCAGGGCTTTTGTATGGAGGTGTATGGATCAGAATTCCTGGATTGAAGGAACAGAAATACTTCTTTTCAGAAAAGTAAAGGAATGTGTTTAAGCTCCAGTTTCATTATCAGAGTCCCCAGTGGATGCAAAGAAAAGCTATTACAGACTATGTATTCAGACAAAATGATTACCAGACAGTACTTAAGTTCTGGGCTCTGTTTCCATTCCTAATTTGTTCTTAATGAAATTCCTCTTGTTTAGAGCGGGGTCTATATATAAGGGCAGGAATCATATACTTGTAGTTCCCCCTCTTTATTCTTTTGTTTTTTAATCTGAAGATGTATGTGATAATACTTAAATTGAATAGAAGATGACCTGCTAATTTGCAAGCTGGGATATTTATCTTCCATGTATAAAGAACATCGCTGCATTGTCAGCTCTTTGGCATAAGAAGCCTGAACTGCAAATACTGCTTTTGAAATTAGATCCCCAGAATCCATACATACGTAGTTCCAGAAGGAGGTATTCAGACACACATATTTAAGTCAGTTTTGGCATTTGTCTCTCCCTCTCTTTCACATACATATAGAATATGTCTGTCATGGCGTCATGTTGACTATCTGTATAGCTTGCTTTGAGTATTACATTGGTCATGGAGCCAGATATACTGTCTGCAGTGGGCAATATTTATTCTCTTTCAAAGACAGGTGTTGAGACCAAATTTTGCATTTGTCAATTTAAGTATAACTAATTTGACTCACAGTGTCCATGCAGAGAGCACAAAATTTCTGTACTGAGTGGTATGGAGAAGATAATGAAGCCTATGTAAGTCATTGTCTAAACAAACCAGTCATCAACAGCTAAGCACTGAAATTTTAAAACTGTACTGACTTATAAAACAAATTCTTGAAGTCGCTAAAGCTCCTGCTGAGAGCCAGTTCTACACTCCCAGTTATTTTTGCATTCCTGAGGTCACTCTCTTCCCTGGCACCTCAGCTTCTTTCACCCAGAAAGTTCTGGGGATATTCTCATTGTTGTGTTTAGTCAGCTTTCACAAATGCTACTGCTCAGAATCAGCTGTAGATTCTGGTACCTGTGGTGACTTTTAATGCATGCTCAGCACTGGTGGAAACAGTTTGTAGCATGATACCTTCACACAGTCTATAAAGTATTCCTCATGTTTGTTAATGCTGAGCAGCTGTGCACTCAGCTGAGTATCTGACGGTCCCTAGTGAAAGTTTTCTGTCAGATTTTTTAAGCTCTGATTGGAAAATGTACCTTCCAAATAGCTAGCTACTCAAAGGTTTTTGGCAAAATCTCAGCCATCTCTTGAGGGTCATTAGACTGCACCTCATAAATTGATCTTGAAGCCAATTTATCTCCTACGACATCCTGCCATTTTAATGTTTGCCTGTGGCTGCCTGGGTTCCTACCTCCAAGTTTGATTTCACCGTTACATTCTTCTAATCAGACAAAAAGTCATTTTTGGTTCAGGAACAACCAAAGAACTTGCAGAAAAAATCCTGGTGAGGTCATCAGAGTTCATCTGAATGAAGGTAAGAGCCTCCCAAAGGCATCTTTAACACAGATTAAATGTCTAATTCTATGACTAAGAATGTTGGGGGGAGGTTGGACCAGCATCAAACAAATGGAATAAGGAAGAGAGGAGTTAACTTGTCCCAAGTTAGTACTGATTGAAACCTACAAACTGATTAACCCATGTTTCAGACAGTCTTCTATGATATTTTACGTCCTAATTAATGTTATTTCTCTGCAGTAAAACGCAAAAGCTTACAATCCACTGCTGCGTAACTGTCTCCTCACAGGTGGTGGAAATTGAAATTATATAGCCTCTATCCTTGGAGATTTTCAAGACCAGACAGGATAAGACCCTGAGTAACCTGGTCTGACCTCATAGCTGAGCAGGAAGTTGGACTAGGTGACTTCCTGAGGTGCCTTCCAACCTGAATTAGCCTATGATTCTGTAGCAGGTTTCATCATCAACACTCACCTTGGAAATAAATTCATTTTTGTAGCTGTTCTAGGATCAAATATTTTAAGTGCTGGGAAAAAAAATGCTATATTGGGTCTGTAACACAAAGGAAGAAAGTTATTGCTGAAAGTACCCAAATTATGGATGGCCCTTTTTGGCTTCATTACACACCCATTTCCAAGCCTTTCTGGCAATACACTGTTTAGCAGCAGTGAAAGTTTCAAGGTCTTGCTTTGGCTTTTTCCCTTCAAGTTCTCAAAATTATTTTGGCACTATAACATTATGTGCCTTGAACCAAGAACATGGAGGGAAGACAGCTGGGCTGGGAGTAGTACTCAGAAAACAGAGAAATTATATCTGTAATTAAATGAGCGACTTCTTAGAATAATAAAATAATCTAACCAAATCTTCAAACGGAAGCCTAAAGTGAAGACTGTGATGTATCCCACTAATTCGCTTCTGTTCTTCCTCCTAAAGTCTCAAATGCCACTGCATGGCAGTGTTACATGCTTTTTCTCCTGGAAATAAGCTTGTACTCTATATGTATTAAACCCTGCTGTCAGTCTCTATGTGCTGATGTGCTGCTCATTTGTGCCTGTGGCTTGCAGCTGTTCTGTCTTTATAGGGGTATGATAGTTCATTCTGCTCTCACTGAAAGTAAGCACACTAGAATGTCAGAGCAGCATCCTTGAAGTATTGTTTGTGTTGCTGTAGTTAGTGACTCCTCAGAGTTGTTTTGGTTTTTTTACACTGCATGGAGATTATTCCATCCCCTTTGGTGTAAGGACCCTGAAACAGAAACTCTGACTGAGGTAGAGCAGCTCTAGTTGCCTGGACAGGTTCATGTACCCATTTTGAATGAATAGTCCTAAATTAGGATTAGAGGAGAGGAAAGCCAGGAACACTACCACCCCATCCTTTGAAATAGGTTCCCTGGCTTTAAATACTTAATTTCTTTGTATCTGAGCAACGTAGAGGGTTTTTTCTATTTTTTTTATTGTTGTTTGCTCATCATATCCTGAAGCTGAGTTAGTGGAGTGTTAAGGCACTCCTTTAACTGTCCTAGCAACACCATCAGCATTTTCCCTCTCCCCTTTATTTAGTGATGGTGGGATGATTAACTGTAAAATAGAGAGCTGTACCTCAGGATGGGTATTGCATTGCTTCTTATAACTTCCCCAATTGTTGTCTGTATCTCCACAGGTGCATGGTCTCTACCAGCTAACACAGCCCTGAATGGATGCATAGCCAGGCCTGTGAGACACTTCAGGACATACCTTCAACTTGCATCTGAAAAAGGGAAGTTTCAATTCGAGAAAGCACCTCCAGTTTTTTATTGCCCTGCAAAAGTCAAGTGTATCGCAAAGTGTGAATGCTGCTCAGGTCCACCTCCTCCCCATGGGCAAGAGCCTATTTCTTTGTTTCAGAAGGCTTCTCTCTTCAGAAGACTCTATGAGGCGGAAAAGTTCCGAATTAGTCTAAAGTCAACTAGGCCATAAGAAGTAATCACAGAGATTTGGGGAACTGAAATAACTGAGGGCTTTTTTGGAGGGATGGGGGTATTTGCCCTGAAACAGAAATTCAAACAAGCAATTTTAAGCTTAAGGAAAAAATAAAACTGAGTGCGTATGTCCAATTTGTAAAATTTAATGCCCATATACATTATGAGTTCTCCATATAGTATTATACTCATAGATCTATCTGTGTGTGTCTAAATATATGTATGCATACAGATCAGTATGTATACATACACACACAAACTCAAGTGATAGGTTACTGAAATCCAGCAGGAAAACTGAATGGAAACATGAAGTTATTTGGTATCAGCTGCTTTGATGGTTTCAGATTTTTTAATAATTTTGACAAGGCACTCGCCACTGGGTGGCATGTCTGACTTGGTGTGTGTTAGGAAGCAGGGTGGTGCCCAAGGAGTATGTCCTGCTATGACTTCCACAGAGAATGTCCCACATGAGGTTTGTCCTGGCTGTGAGAACGGCAGATGGAGAGATCAGAAGGAAAAGAAATTAATGTATCAAGCCCCTAGTAAATATCCTCTCAGAAAGGAGTCTTTCTCATGCCCTTAACTCAGGTGAAGTATATGATCAGGGAGAACTTGCTGAAGTTCAGCTTTGCAACTGGAAAGACCTGGAGAGAGCTTTACGTGGATGCTAAGGAGAAATGCAGAAGTCACCATCTCTACCAGGAGATCATCAGGATTCATTCCAGGACTGGAATTTCATGTTTTGGCTGTGGGATTCCCGTCCTTTCCTCCTGGATATGAAGACCTAGCAAGGGCCTGGTCTCAGAGCAGGCTGAGCTAGTAGAGAATTCTGCGGGATGTCCTGGCTTTGGCATGGCCTTCACCTTTGTGCCGTGCAACTGGAGTGTATGCATATATGCACACTTGTGTTGCCTTTCTTTTCTGTGCTGGCAGCTGTTGAATGTTGGTTTTTATGTTTAAGAAATATATATTGAAGTGCCAAATAAATGTTTAAGTGTCTGGAATTGTCTGCTGCCTACCCTTGGCCTCTCTTCTGTTCTGTGCATCAGTAGCTGTGTGTCTCTTTGTGTCCCTTGGAGTTCAGGAGGATTCACAACAATAGCAGGAACTGTGTCAAAGACTAGATTGCAGAGTAATTATTTCTGAAAATATGATTCTGTGGTCCTAGGCCACCTGTAATGAAGAGGTCATCGGAGCAGTTTAGAAATTTCACAAACACACGAAGGCTGCTGTTGCCAAAATCTGTACATTAAGCACAGAAAGACTTGCACTTTGGCGGGCTATTGTCCATATATTCCAAACCTAGAAAACAAGGAGACTAACTCTTGCCATTAGAGAAAAGCTCACTGCATCTACTTTTCTCACCAATGAATGAATGAAACTAGGCAGTGGTTTTGTGAAAAGGACTCTGCACACTTTAATTCCTTTGTGGCTAAAATGCTCTGCTTCCTTCTGGAGCTGCTCCACCTAAGCCAGCTGCACTTGCAGCATTTATCAGTGTAAACCATTCATTCTTGTTTCAAGGCAAGTATACAGCAGTAGATGACATTTTGCTCAAATGCATCCTTTTTGTAGCAGAGCTTGCTTAGTCATCTTGGATGGCCTAAGCTATACTAAGCTAAATATATTCTGTGCACAAGGAGTCATTTTTAGTTTAAATTTATGACTTGTCATTAATCTTTCCAAGTCATGTTTTCCTATACTGTCCTCCTGAATTAGCTTGCTACTGCAAGTTAAGCTGTTACTGTTCTGCTTCTCTATTAAGAAACCCATATATGTACACATGCATCCCCTTATCATACAGATTTTTCTCTTTAGAAATGGAAGGTACTCACCCAAGTTTCATAAGTCTCCATTGCTTGTTGGCTGGCATGTGTGGTTTTAGTTGAAGCAAATAGGTCTCAGCAGCACTATTCTTCCTACCTTTCATGCCAAGGTTTGCAGCATGAGAGGCCTCAGTTTTCTGATGTGATTGTGTTTAATCTAGGAGGTTGTTTCAGGGTGCATTAGAAGCCTATTATAAATATACAGACTTAAGATTACAGGAAGTATCCTAACAAAATTGGAACCGGTAGTAGCTCCAGCACTTGAATCTTCATAATTACCCTGTTCAATGACAGAATAACGGCATATGATTTCTCAATGGACTTTTCTGTGGCACAGCATAGGGGCTAGTCTAGTTACTCTCTGACTTTATTTAACATGCTTGCATCCTTTTGCAGTCAAAAGCTAGACTGAGGAGACTAGTCTGTGAGGTTTGAGCTGTTCTCAGAGTTAAATCCTAACCAATGAAGTGATGGCTGCCTGGAGCATACCTCTCGCTTGCTTTGTTCTCAAGATTTGCCAGTTGCCCTACAGGCTTTTACTATTCCTTTCTTACTCTGATAGTACTCCACAAACCTTGTGTATACCCTTGTTACCTGGATAACTAGACAGAACTCTTGCATAGCAGCCTATTTAATTATTGGAAGTGCAATGGATTGCATTGAGTGGCTTGGTATCTTGAGGCAGAAATCTATCCTTCCTCCATACTTTAGTAGAAGCAGGACTCCTTTACCTTTTGTGTTTTCATATAGCTAAAGTGCACATGCTATCTCCTGTTGATTTGTTGTTTAGGCTTTATGAAGCCACAGAGAAAAAGTGAAGGTAGTCAGTAAAACACTGGCTCCCTCAGAGCTCAGTGAATCTTATCCAATCTGCCTTTCCTCCTTATTGGTTTAAATGGAGAATGGAACTGAAATGGCTTTTTCTCTAGCCATCTGCCTCTGCAGGCTGCCCTGGCACACAAGGAGCTTGAATGAATTAGCAAAGAAATAGCCAATGTCTGCTTAAAGACAGCACCTTCTTAAGCTCTGCCAAAAATAGAAACATGAGTCACTCTTATTCTTTTATTCATTGACACCCTTTTTACCCCTTGCATTTTGTAGACTGTGATGCCAAAATGGAAAGAAAGAGACTGACTTCTATTTTTAGCTCAACAGAAGTTGTTCAACCCCATAGGGACTTTCTGGATGGAGTCCTCCAGCCTTCTTATGAAATAATTTCTGGTTTTGTGTTCATGTAGCTCTTGGTGCCCACCGTACCTAAAAGTAGGGAAAAGTGGTGATGCCCCAGCATGCATTTCTTAAGCAGCTATGAGATCAGGAAAGTAACGTATAAATACTCTCTTTTTACGTGACTAGACTTTGTTATCTAATTGCAGCTTTCCTAAGCTAAAGCTAGGTAATTACACTCGAAGTCTACCTGAGAGCTACTGGGTAAGTACAGTGTCAGTGCTAAGCAATGTCAGCCAGAGCTGTAAAATGCGTGACTAGAAGTAACAGTTATACTGTACGATTACAGTTGCTGTTTAACACAGCTGTGGACTTTCCTGTACTAATTCCTGTAAGTCCAGCACCTAATCTTGACTGCAAAATTTCTTTTCAGTGAAGCAACTTAATGATCCTTCCTGTTAAACGATGATCCTTATTTCTATTTTGAGTTTGTCTATCTTCATTCCAGCCATTGAATTTTGGTATTCTTGTGTCTGCTAGGATGAAGCACTTAACAGCTTTATTCCTCATATAACTGTTTATGGATTGTGATTGAGGATTTACTTGTTCAGCAGATGTCCTTGTTGATAAGCTGTAAGAGTTGAGTTTCCAAAGTTTTTCATTATGAAGTATATTTTCTGGTTTAATTTTTATGGCTCTTATTTGAATCCTGTCCAATTACTTATTTTCAATTATGGCATTTTAACTGGTAACAATTACTCCAGCAGTGGTCATGCCAATTAAAAACACAGAGTGTAAAATAACATCTTTCTCTTTGGTTACTTTCCTCATTATACACTGAGGACCACAGTAGCCCCTTGGCCCCTGTGCTGTATTGAAAGGCCATCTTCAGGTAATTATCGATGATGACTCACAAGTCTCATCAAACTGCTTTTTTCTATGATAATCCTCCATCCTGTGTGAGGATGGGAAATGATATGATTAACAATGGAATGATATGGTTAACAACGCAGAAAAGTTTGTTAGACTCAATGATTTAATATTTGCCAGGCACTCCAAGAAAAGAACACGAACATTCTAATGAGCGGTCTATGTTCTGGGCATTACAATAAAAGACATGCGTCGTTGGATTTGCCTTACTACATATAAAAACCTTTAATCTCTGCTTGCACTTCCTGTTGCCCCTGACTTTGATCTGGTTTCTGCTTTGCAGGCTGACAGCTGAAGAGGTAGAATCTCTAGAGGCAGATACAACCAACCGCTGGCAAGGAGTCTGCATTAGCAGAGCATCTCCCACACCATCAGAATCTGCAGCCACTGTCAAGTCGCTGATAAAATCATTTGACTTGGGATGCTCAGGTATTTGAACACTGTATTTTGTAGTAAAAAAATTTTCTAGCAGTGAGTGGGTAACTTTTGCCATTTTGTGCAGCTTCTTGCTTCTTAATGGATATTTTCTGTCAGTGCTTGGTACATAAATACTATCTGTGGAATGTCACTACACCAGTGGTTCCTTGTTCTGACGAGAGGGAGATAGTTGGGTTTGCAATGCAAATGTTTCCACGTTTTTTTCCTTGCAGGTAGCACTGGACAAAATATCACGGTTCACAAGGTCCCCAGGAGCCCTCTAAGTGGAATTCCAGTGAGGACAGCCCCAGCAGCTGCTGTTTCCCCCATGCAGGTACAAGGAGCTCTTTCCATCCTTGCAGTTTTAAAATGGGCAGATGCAGTGTTTGCTACAGCATGACATAGCTTCAGTATGCCAACATGCGTATGTTGACAAGTGGAAGGGGAAACTCATCTGTTTATTTGCTGTGAAACATCAAATGCTGTAGTACTAACAAAAAGGATCAAAGTGAGTTTGTCTTTGACTTCAGCTTAGAGGTCTCAGTGGACGGATGTGAACTCTTTGGAATACAATTCTGAACTTTAATCATTGTTGACCAGAAAATAGGTTTCGATTATTGGGAGTGAGTTACAAGAAACATCAAACTAAACTAAGTAGCTGGCATGTGAGTTGAGAGAGAAGGGATAAGTAGTTTCTAAGATGTATGCTCCCAGTTATCCAGTAAGTTCATACAGTGCTGAATGAAGAGCTCTTACAGTTTGTTTTTTTTCCTACTGAAGCATAACTGCTCTGGAATGTAGTACTTCTTATGTCACTGCACCAGTTAGTTAACTTTCTGTTAGCAATTTTCAAATCTGTGGTGCAATGTTAGTGGAAATACTGCTTTTGTGAACAATGGAGAAGCAAATGCACTGTGCTTCCTGATTTACACGTGTGCTGAAGGTGGCATACCATCAGACTGCTAACGTTTCTAGGCTAGAGAAGCCATTGTATGTTTTTTGACTGGGTGGTCACTGGACTTACAACAGGATATTCTCCTCTGAATCTGGGTAAAACACAGTTGCGAGGCCAGGTTGTTTAGGTGAGTGTTCTGAAGAATGAGATGACTTTGAAAGACTACTTAACAAATGTGTGAGCACATTTCCTTCAAAGAATCAGCAAAGGAAGTTTAAAGAATGGGATTAAACAAAGGTCTGGGAACCTTCTATTAATGCCTGGCTGAGAGGGTATTAATGCTGAAAACTGGTGCTGGAGCTGCAGAGACAAGAATCCTTCTGACTTACGATTCAGGGTGCTGGGGACAGAGGCAGGGTTAGGAACAGGCATTCTTACTTTGGGTTTGTGACACTAGATTATGTTTGGCAAGAGAAAAAATGGTGCAAATACAAACATGAAATAGTTCAGGAACCAATATATTACCAACTAAAAATATTGTCCCTTTGTCCTTTTATTTTTCACAACCATTTATCCAGCTCTAGGTACAGCTGATACCTTGTTGAAAGGTTTCTGTATCCCTCCACCTGCTTTGTGATCTTGAGATAGCAGAAACATCTTTTCTTTCTGCTTGCCTATTTAAGCATGATGGCTAGTATTTTTTTTAATTATCTTTTGTATGTTTGTTTGTTTCACAGAGACATTCTGTTTATAATAATGCCAAGCC